GCGATGCACGGGATAGTATATTTTTTGGGTTTTTTATAATATCAACATTAAATTTAATGCACTTTGTGGATACGTAACAAATATAAAATGAAAAAAAAAACAAATTTAAAACTTTATAAATTAGTAAACACTTCTTTGTACACAACGTTTTGGGTCTGATTTGGTGGCAAGTCATCGTCATTACAGACTAATATCTTCAACCCACTTCGATTGGTGACACGAGATGCGGCAACATATATTTGCCCATGACTGAACACTGGCTTCTTAAGCAATAAACCAACATGCGATAGCGATTGTCCCTGACTCTTGTTGATAGTCATGGCATACGATACCATAACAGGAAACTGTCACCTCTGGAATTTGAAAGGAATTTTGACATTGAAAGGAGTTATAGAATATCATTATTTCTTTTGTATTATAATATAAATAAATCATAAATTCGAAATATCTGCATTCTTTTGTCTTATCCTACATAATTGCATGATGAGAACCCATGGTTCTCCATCGTCCGCAGATTGGAAGTGATTTTCACAAAACATAAAGTCGTGAACATATTCACCCCAAAGTTCCCAACGCATCACTAATTCACTATTTAGTTAAAAAAACAAATTCAATATTATATTTTAGACAAATTTTACAAATATATAATTCATGTACTATATAGATTACTTACTCCAAATCCATCATTGAAAAAGTGATCCCTTGCTTTTTTTTTCTCCATTTATCCAATCTAAATGAATGGGTCGAACCTTAACGTCCATACCAATAGCATCTACAATAGATATTAGTAGAAAAACTAAATACTATTTTATTAATTTATATATCAACAAAACAAAATTAAGATTCAAAAAAATTCGAATCCACCCTAAATAATAAATAAAAGATTTACCATAAAGGATTGGCTCGTCCACAATGTCATCATTTTGAAGAAATGCAAAACTACGGAAGTCGAATTCTCATGTAGGGAAATTATATAGCACGTGAAGGACCTCAGTATCCCCATTAATTATAACTTTGTAGTTTGCATTAGTAGATCGAAATTTACCAACGTTGAGCTCTAGTCTGTAGTTGGTAAATATGTAGACCCCACCCTCCTCAAGCAACCCAGCAAATATGGGCGAACCACGAACTATACCAGTTATTCGTGATCCCTACAAAACAAATAAATAGTATTATTGAGATAATAAAAAAAAAAAAAACATTATAAAAAAAATCAATGCAATATATTTACCTCCATATCATGGAAAATAATTTCCCAATCGCTTTGGAAAGATCTCTTGAAAATACGTATGGCTCTAAGCCTAAGATTGAATCTCATGTTAACTGTGAGTTGTCTGATCAAGCCTAATTGCTCCATGACAAATTTTTTATTTTTTATTTTATTAAATGTGGAGAAGAATTTGTTCTGCCGATTTGAGAATTAATTGGGGGAATGATTGACTTTTGGGTTATTTATAGTGATAGTAGGTTTCAAAAATATTATTCGGAATTTTTACATTTAATAATATAATATGAATTATTTGTAAAACATAATATTGTCGGTCCTAATAAAAACTCTCGGTCCTAATAAAAAAATAAATAAATACTTAACAAAATATAAACTTTTGTGCATGATAGGAATGAGATTTTGAGTTACTAATGGACTCAGTTTTAGGAACACGAGTTTGAAATAAATTAACTACAGAGTTTGAAATCTATAAATTGAAGAGAGATAACTGAAAGAGAATTGTTATGACACTTCACTTCGTGTAATTTATTTTATATAATTATGTAAATTTATAATAATTTATCTTTCAAATCACTGCATCATTAGATTTAAATGTAAATTAATCGGCTAAAAAATTGTAAAATAAGATCGTCTACTATCCCGTGAACAAATAGACTATCACAAAAACTCTGCACGTGCCATACTTTATTTAAAGTCAAGTCGTATTTAAATATTTAAATAAAATAATGAGATATTTTATAAAGGGATACTCGATTTGGTATTTAATTAAATATCCGAAACAAATCTGTTTGTTATTAATTTATAAGGGGATACACAATTTATTTTTAAATTTCTATAAACTAAATTATAATTATGTAATATTATTTTTAAATTATTTCAGTTTAAGTATTTGTATAAACAATTTTATTATTTTTTATATGTATATATCGATATACACTTTAAAATGAAAATTGTTATTGCACCGAAAATTGATATTGATCATATGTGCGAATCCGAAAATTGTTATTGCAAATTATTAAAAATTGCCAGCAATGAAAATAAATCATGTAGAACAAATAAAACAAACAAAAAATAAAAGAACCGTATGTACGTACAAAATCGAAGAAGGAGTCTAGATATAAAAATTTTATTAACGATAAAATATAGTACTCATCCAATTCGCAATAAATATGACACAGAATAAATTTCTTACCAAATCGTCAAATTATATATAATAAAAACTTAATAAATCCAGGCGGCATCCATCTCTCGATCATTGCTAGTATTGAGGAAAATTTCCATTGTATTTGCTAAAATCTGTCCTTCCATGAAGGAAAATCTTCCAACGATGGGTTATTATATCATTCCTCCCGTTATTATATTCAACATCGTAGTTGCGAATAAAATACACCTCGCCTTGTTTAAGGCGATCTCGAAATACGCTCATATACTGCGAACGTACTATTCCTTTCATGTATGAACCCTACATATTTGAAATCATAAATAATACAAAAAAAAAAAAAAAAAGAAAATTGAAAAATCAGTTCCGATATTCATGTGATAATGTTAATGATAAAACATTTGAAAATAATTAGCCCTTCATCATGAAACAGGATATGAAAAGCGTCTGGATGCTTCGGATCGTTATGAGTTTCCAGCAGTAGGACTACTTTCAACTCAAAAACGGTTTGTTGGATCGACTCACAGTGTCAGTGTACCCCGGAATGTTGCCATAAAATAATTTGTATTTTATAATTTTTGTTTTCCTACGCGTGTTGAGGAGGTGAAGTGAAAATGATCTCAATCTGTACCTTTTATATAGAGAGTTTTTGTACATGTTAAACGTGTGTAGCGATATTAGATAAGGCACAAGGTTTTCGGATATTATAGAAGGTTGTTACGATAATAAAGGAATAAAATTGAGGAATTAAAAATTGTTAAGATAATAATAAGTTGTTAAGATAATAAAGGAATCAAATTAATTTCGAATTCAATAGAAAGTTGTTAAGATAATAAAGGAATCAAATTAAGGATTTATATAAATTTTTTATCCAATATTTTTTTAACGGATTTTTTATTTAAATATTTTGTTTAATTTGTTTAACGGATTTCTAAAATACTTTCCACAAATGGAAAGTGAAAACATTTTTTTAAAACTTTCCTTAAAAGATTTTTTGACATTCCTCTTTCAATTATTATAGATTGCCTATGAGAAAAGGTCCAATGAATAAATGTTGTAATTTTTATAATATTTTTTACGGTGTGTTCTTTAATGGTGATCACATAACTTAATTTTATTAATTTTAAAATTAAGATAATAATCGGGCGCTACAGTTACTGATGTAGGGAATGCGTACGAATGAGAAAAGATACAATACGAGTAAACGAGATACTCTCTCGTAAAACACGTAAAACGAGATACTCTCTCGATAAAACTCACAATCAATTTATATTTTTATTCAAATCAACTGCATAAAACAATAGATGAGGAGTCCCTTAAATAAGGCTCCTACAACTCTAATACTAACTTGTCCAACAAGACAAGAATCCTAACAATACTAACTTGTCTAACAAGACAAGAATCCTAACAAAGTGATAAATAATAAGTTTCCTAACAAATCTATAATACCAATAATAATAATAATAATAATAATAATAATAATAATAATAATTAAAGATTCTAAACATTCTTATCTCCATCAGTTACGTAAGCATCTAATTCGAGTTTGTCTTATCGCCAATATTTCTGTTGATATGCGAAATTTGATCAACATGAGATATTCAGAGAACTGTACATATTATTGAATTTCTCTGTATTTTTTGTATAATTGTTGAATCAAGAATCACAGAAAATTGAAGAATCTCTCTTTTGATGTGGTTCAAGGAAAAAGTTGGATAAATGAGAGAATAGAGGCGGTGCCTCCAATTCCTAGATAAGTAGGAAAAGAATACCCCCCCTTTGGCCCATCTATATCTTCATCTATATATAGGTCTTTTATGGGCCTTTACATTTAATGGGCCTTCAAATTATAATAATGAACATGTAATAAATTATTACAGCGCATGGTCCAATAATTATGATAAATAATGGTTTCGACTGGTATTTGTCTTGTCAACAATTACTGTGCCTGTCTTTTATCTCGACGACGTTGGATTCTGCTCGGCTTGCTTAGTTCAAATACGGACAATCTTGACTTCTGAGAACTCGATAATAATAAAATAAATAGAAGAACATGTATCCACGTGTAGCATTTTTATTAGTTGAGCCAAAATTGTATATCAACAATTTCTTTTTCTTTTTTTTTTGTAAATCCAAATTAGAATTTCGATATTGCATATCGACGGTAAACAATATGAAAGCTAAATTATTTATATTTATATCGTTTATTTGTATTAATGATAAAATTTATAAAATTTGATATGCTCATTGTCTAATTTATGACATATAACCAATAAATTTTATTTTGATATGCACAAGTACTTTTAGTGCCAAAATTATTCAGGTCAATGTTGATGACCTTTTTAATTGCAGATCGCCCCTTGCATTTTCCAGTTATTACGCTCCTCGCAACATATTTCCGGACTCAAATTCCGCAGGCCCCAAAAGGTTCTTCTTTAACGGTCATGTAATTTGAACGGACAAATGAATCCAAATTCAAACGCCTAAAACGCCCAGAAAGTAAACGCACAAACGCTCTCCATCCCTTCCTTTTGTAGCAGACAAAACTAGCCATTTTTTCTTCTCCATTTCTGTTCTTCTCCGAATTTTCGAACCTCGATAGCAAAGAGTTGTATGGAAAACTGCGAGTTGAACTCATCTGATGACCAGACGCCGGGAACTCCGAAGCCATGTGCTTCTGCCGGTGGCTTTGAATGGGAAAAGGCGCAAAAACTAAATCAAGAAGCCGACACATCTGCCATGGAAGAAGATGAAACTGAGGAGTCGTTTGCTGATCTGATGGTCTGCGATTATGGTTCAAGATTGGTCCCAACTGGGTTCTCGATTCCTTGTTGTAAAGGTAGGTCTTTTTTGCACGTCTATCAGAAAGGAAATTCGAAAGGTACTCAAGATTAGGGTTTTCTTGTGGGTAGATTTAGATCCAGAAATCTAACATATTAACATTTTTGCAGCATTTAGTGATTTTATTTTCCATTTTTTTTCATCAGACTCTCACGCCACCATGCTAATGAAATCTGGTAGAAATGTTGATGTGAATGACCCGTGAGTAACTTGCTGAATGTATTTTGGGATTTATGGTTTCTATTGTCTGTAGAGAATATCGTTGTGTATTGGCTATGTATTGTTCTTTATGCTATATTATAAATTCGAAAGTTCAGTGGTAGGGATAGAGGTTGCTGGGGTTTGGAACTGCCTCGGCTATCCTTACAGATGGTTGAAAATTAAAGCCAAAAAATATATGTGTGTATTCATTTTCTAGACTTTGGGGTTGTTTATGTGAATGTTTTGAGTTGGTCGAAAGTATCATTTCTTGTCATTGATACGCACTGCTAATTTTAACTTAAATGTTATTTCTTTGGTGAATTAGAGGAAATTGTGCTTTTCATCAATGCTGGTGCAATGACGCCTGCGGAATCAGATTCCGGTATTGAACTTCTGGCGGACAAGTTTTTTGAAGGCGGAGATACTTTTCAGACTGAGGAGTTCATCGACGATGGTGGACACTGTTCGTTCATGTATCAGTCAGCCAGATTGGGAAACTTCTGCTACCGAATTGAGAATCTTCAGCCCGGGAATTATTTTCTTGATCTTCATTTTGTAGAAATTATAAACATCAATGGGCCTAAAGGGATGCGAGTATTTAATGTGTATATGCAAGATGAAAAGGCAAGTTCTTACTATTTTTTTTTTTTCTTAAATTAAGAAAGACTAAAGTATGAATGCTTTATGATGTAAGTTGACGGTTAGTGCTGCTGTTGATGCAGATTTTGTCTGATTTTGATATCTTCTCCATCGTTGGGTCCAACAAACCTCTACAACTGGTTGATGCTAGAGTTTCTGTTAAGGAGGATGGAATTATTGTCTTGAAATTTGAGGGGATAATTGGCAGCCCAGTAGTTAGTGGAATTTGTATTAGGAGAGCCCCTACAGCTTCAGGTACTTGCTTTTCTGTGCAACATTCTTTTTATATGGCATTTTAAGGGACCAAAGTATTCGTGCAATTTCTGAAATTCTTCAATCTTTGCAGTCTCTCAGATGAACCGTGAATATTCTGTGTGTAAAAACTGTTCTGCTGAGATAGAATATCCTTCAGCTCAGGTATGATTTGCATAAACACGTTCCTGAACTTTTTGAGGGCAAATGGCCCAAGTTTAGTGTCACTATCTTCTACTTTATACGAATTCTTATGTTTATGAATATGTGGAGCTTTCAGAAAAAGGTATTGCGAACAAAATCAATAACCAAGTACGAGAAAACTATACAAGATCTGAAAGATACGTTGCAGAGGAAGACTGATGAGTGTTATCAATCTTGGATGTCTTGGTCTGCTGCTAACGAGCAATTAGAGAAAGTTAGGATGGAACTCGACAATAAGACATTCAAAACATATTCACTTGGTAAGGCTTAGAACTGGCGCATTGAGTTTTTTCATTTACTTTGTTAGCTGGAAAAGATTCGAAATAAAAAGATAAAAATATAGTGGGGCCATGCAATAAGGCAAGGTCCCAAGTGCATTTTATTCGATCTTTTGTTCATTTATGTTAGTAAATCTTTAACCATTATTTTGTTGCATATATTGATAAAGATCGAAGGTTATTTTCTTTCTGGTGGTGGTGGTGCAAAAACTCAGGAACACTAGACCACGTCCATTGAACTTTTCCCTTGTGTTGAAGTAACTTCTATTTTCAAATATATGCATGTTAATATGCTTACTACAGTGCGTCTAGCTTACTAGCTGATGAATTTCCGCACAGGATTTATACCTTTCCTTACCATAAGAAGACAGATCATTGGTGATTACCTACCTAGACATGGGTTTTTTGTTTAATATGATTAAAAATTTTATTAATTGATAAAGTTTGGAGGAGCTGGCAGAATGCAAGAGAAATTAGTTCCTAGATTAATATTGGGTATTGGTCTCATACGTAGAATGCAAAAAACGACATTGTGCTGGCATTTGGGATAAGACTACATACAGAAATTTGAAGACAAAAAGCATGTCTCTGTTTCTAGAGTAGATTCCTTTGGTTGCAAAAAAAGTAGATGTAGCTGTAGCTGTATTTATCATAATTCAACTGTTATCATCAGTTTATTTCTAGAGTGTTGTATGTTTTCCAAGTAAAACTGGAAGTGTATTATTTTGTATTTTTCCTAATGGAACTAGAACTTAACGTCATTGGATTTTCTGTAGATCAAACACTAGAGAAACAAGCAGACAAGCTGAAAGACATCTCGAGCAAGTATGAGCACGATCAGAAGTCCTGGAAAGTGGCAATCAATAGTTTAGAGCAGAAAGTAAAGGTGATTAGTCATTTAACTGGCTAATTCAAGGGACAAAAGAAAAGATGTTTACCTTTCATAGAGAGTGCATTTTGCTTGTAAGGTATGAAGCAAGTCCAAATTTTCCTTGTACAGGTGATGAAACGAGAGCATTCTGAGCTTTCTCGTGAAGCACACGAATGTGTTGGCTCTATTCCGGACCTGAATAAAATGGTTTCTGCAGTCCAGTCACTTGGTAAGCTTTAGTCAGATAAAAAGCTAGCTTTGATTTTTTTTTTTTTTTTTAATACTAAGTGTGGGTTCTTTTATGTAATTTCACGGTTGCACCACAGTCGGACAGTGTGAAGATCTTAAACTGAAATTCAATGAGGAGCAAGTAAAGAGGCGGAAGTTATTTAACCAAGTGCAGGAGGCAAAAGGTTATATTTTGTGATTGTTCAAAATGTGTTGTGCCTATGTTATTCTTTCGGTTTTTGTTCTCATTACATTTACATGAACTTTTGAACTATCAGGAAATATTAGGGTATTTTGTCGTTGTCGACCCCTAAGCAAGCCGGAAGTCACAGCCAGGTGTTCATCAGTCGTAGACTTTGATGCTGCCAAGGATGGAGAACTTGGAATTCTTAGCAATGGCTCCACCAGAAAGACTTTCAAGTTTGATCGTGTTTACTCGCCGAAAGATGACCAAGGTGCTTCTTTTACTTTTTTTTACCTGAATTTCACGCATTATGGAAGAAAAATACTGGAACCAGTTGATTTTTTTGCCGATGACCGAGCACTGTGTATATATACTAGTTAATAATTCTTGTTTTATCTCTTTTGAACAGTTGATGTTTTTGCCGATGCTGCTCCTATGGTAATCTCAGTACTGGATGGATATAATGTATGCATATTTGCCTACGGGCAAACAGGGACAGGCAAGACTTTCACGATGGAGGGTACCGAGTCCAACCGTGGGGTCAACTATAGGACCCTTGAAGAATTGTTTAAGATTGCGAACGAGAGGGCTGAAAACTACACGTACAACATCTCAGTTAGTGTGCTTGAGGTTTACAATGAACAAATAAGGGATCTGTTGGCGGTGGAGACCTCCAAGAAGTAAATGGGAAAAAAAAAATCATGTTTTCCATTTTTTTTTTCCTTCATATGAATCTGCAGATCAATTAGGTGACTTACTTTATTTTTTTATGGTTATAGGTTGGAGATAAAGCAGGCCTCTGAAGGATTTCATCACATTCCTGGTATTGTTGAAGCCAAAGTGGAGAACATACGGCAAGTCTGGAATGTCCTACAGGCAGGGAGCAGTGCAAGAGCTGTTGGATCAAATAATGTGAACGAGCACAGCAGTCGATCTCACTGGTAACCACTTTCGCCGTTTGTTAACCTTAATAATTCTACAAAAAAAAGAAAGAAAAGAAAAGAAAGAAAAGAATCTTAAATATTGTTGTCTTATTGCTGTTCTTTCCTTGTGTTTCAGCATCCTCTGTATTACTGTAAGAGCCAATAATTTGATCACTGGGGAGTGCACAAGAAGCAAGCTTTGGCTCGTGGACTTGGCCGGAAGTGAAAGGCTTGCTAAGACTGATGTTCAAGGTGATCGTCTCAAAGAAGCCCAGAATATTAATAGATCGCTTTCGGCTCTTGGAGATGTGATATCTGCTTTAGCTAATAAAAGCAGTCATATACCATACAGGTCACTTTCAATAATATTTACTCATTTTTTTGCTTCCAATCTTATGCTTTTGTATATACATGTAGTCTGATTTTGTATAATGATTTCAAATTTCAGGAACTCAAAGCTGACCCATTTACTCCAGGATTCATTAGGTGATTTACATTGATTGTACACTTAATGGCATAGCTGTGTGAGGTTTCAAGGTTTCTAATTTTACTTTCCTTATAGGCGGTGACTCAAAAACATTGATGTTTGTACAAATTAGCCCCTCTGATCAAGACCTTGGTGAAACATTGAGTTCTCTAAATTTCGCTACCCGGGTTAGAGGGGTCGACTTGGGTCCTGCCAGAAAACAGATAGACACGAGTGAGCTCCAAAAGACGAAAACAATGGTATGTCTGGTTATTTAAAGAATTAGCGGTCAAATTACATGACTTCTACAGAATTGCCTTTTGGGGTGCTCATTCTGGTCTATTTGTCGAATTTCTTTATTTTTTAGCTTGATAAGGCAAGGCTGGAGTCGAGGTTGAAAGACGAATCTTTGAAGAAGCTTGAAGAGACTTTGCATAACCTCGAAAGCAAGGCCAAAGGAAAGGATCAAGTTTACAAGAACCAGCTGGATAAAATAAAGGAGCTCGAGGGCCAGCTTGAACTGAAGACATCACTGTATTGTCAATATGAGAAACAAGTGTCGCATCTTACCGAGAGACTGAAAGGGAAGGAAGACTCTTGTTCCAGACTTCAACAGAAGGTACAATTGGTATTTCTTTATTGAAAATTTTGAAAAAGAAAGATCTACATTACTAAAATAATGTACATTGTCCTGTTGTATTCTGTAGGTGATGGACTTGGAGAACAAGCTCAAACAACAAGACGAGATTCAGTTCACGACATACCAGAAGAAGGTATTTTCTAGAAATTGTTTCTATTTGAAGCAGCTTGTAATAATGGTCTTCATGATTTTTCATGGAAGATGCAGCATTTATTTTCCGACTACATGGGAAGAATTCCAGTAACTCCTACACCATCCTTTGAATGCAGGTTCACGATCTCGAGCGCAAACTGAGAGAGCAAACACAGCAATCTGAGTCTGATACTCTTCTCCTTCAACACAAGGTCCCAAAAACAATTGTCATTACATCAATAATTTAGTACAAGAATGTAAATTTTGACACTAGACAATACTGGCTGTATAAAATTGTCATTACATCATTCTTGTTAGCAAGATGCAGCATGTTGACCCTAAACATAGTTATTTTCGTAATTCAGTTTCATTTTCATTACTAATATCCCTTTGTGTGACATGTTAGTTTCTTATCTTCATATCAGGTTAAAGAGCTTGAAGAAAAATTGAAAGAGACACAGGAAAACCCCGAGCGACTCTCACTTTGTCAAAAGGTGGTAAATTCTATCGGGCTTATAATACATGCACACACTTCTTAACTTTCCAACGGATGTGGCTCAAAGCACTGATATTTGAATTCTCGTCACGTGCCATTGGCCAGATTAAAGAACTCGAAGAAAAACTTAGAGAGCAAGAAAAGCAGATAGCATCAAAAGCAATCTCAGAGCCCGTAGCCAACAAAATAAAATCCTCCACGCCCATGGAAAACAAGCAATCTAACAAAGATGAGATGCCAAACGAGCACGAGCATCGTATTTTGAGAAGCTTAAATACTGTAAACAGACGAGGCAGTCAGGGTTCTTCTGCTTTGCCAAAAGAAAACGAAGCTCCTCCTCACGAGTCCCGGAGGAAGAGACTTTCAAGAAATGGTGAGGTTGAGAACACTAGTATATTTCCAACTCCATTGAGTGACAACAGCAAGGGCCGGCATTCTGACCCACCTAAACACATACCGAGGGTTTCAAGGATGGGGAAGCCCGTTACAGGGGCCCAGAGGCCCGTGGCCCGAAGCAAAACGAGCCGGGATCCTGTGCAGGGGGTCAACGAGAGGGACAGCAAGAAAAGGATGTGGACAAGATAAGCCATTTCTGATGCTCTCTGACGTTGACCTCTACTTAAACAGACCTCCTGTTCATGATTCAGATTTAGTGGTAACTGTGTAACGTAAGCTGAATTTATCTCTCAACTGAAATGCGTGTAAAAATTAGTGTGTTGATTTGTGAAAAATGTGAAATGATGTTACAAGTGCTGTAGCACCATCTGATTGTAATGCTGCGTCTCTTGAAGCTATAAAAAGTTGGGTTTGCCTATATGAATCCTTGGACATCCTGGTTTATGTGTGTAGGTGTGGTTACTTTTATGAGGTCTGTTTCAGTAAGATAAAAAATCTCATGCTGGAGTTTGGGAGTTATGCAAATTCTATCAATTTTTATATTCAAGCACAGTAAGGTAACTAGTATTAGTTAATGAATATATGTGTAAAGTTATCCCTCCCTATAGATTAATTCAAAACGTGTTGAGCCTAGGTGGCAGATTCTCACGCTTCGGATGCTGACATGGCGAAAATCTATGCTTCGTGTTGTTTTTATATTATTTTTGCTCTGAAGTTAGGTTTGGTATTAGACATAAATAACTTTACATATATATTCATTAACTCAACACTCATGTTGTACAGGGGTATTAGTACTAGTTTATGTCTAATACCAAACCTAACTCCAGAACAAAAATAATATAAAAACAACATCACGAAACATAGATTTTCGCCATGTCAGCATCCGAAGCGTGAGAATCTACCACCTAGAGTCAATACGTTTTCAATTAATATATAGGGAGGGATGATAGAGTGAAGGACAATAACATACAGAGAATGAAAGGGCAATAATAACAAACAGAGAATGAAAGGACTACTCGAAGGGTCCTCAGTCTATCTTGCATGCCACAATAGTCGATATTCCCTACTCTGACTCTTAACCATCAATATGTATTCTAAACTCTAATATCTAGTAATTAAATCCTAAAGTCCAGTTAATAAGAGTCAACTAAAACTTCTCAACTAAATAATAAGGATAATTAGGCAATTTCAACCAATAAGCAACTGCTCCAATACGAGCCTCAACCTCAAACAGCCCAAAGAATCGAGGTGTTAATTAGTGTTCAGTTACGGAAAAGCGTCCCCTGTCGAAAAGGACAAAATTTGACAAATACTTCATCTCCTACCGCAAACTCCACGTTCCTTTGATGTTTATTCGTTTCACGGATCATGCGTTGTTGAGCATGTTCCAGGTGGAAACGAAAATGGCACAAGACCTCATTTCTATGCCCCCAAGATCCTCTGCTAATGATTGTGTCCTCACTTTCCCTAGTATAAAACAATGAAGTATAGGAGGTGCACGACCATAAACTACCTCAAATGGAGTACCACCCACACTTGATTGAAAACTCTTATCGTAGCAGCACTCTGCCCAAGCCAACCAATTATTCCACTCCCGTGGTCTTTCGGAAGGAAAAAAAAAATAAAAAATAAAAAATAATAAAAAAAAACGAAATGACCAGAATGTGTGCGAAATGTTGTTTTAGAAATGTCTACATAGCAACCCGTATCTGATGGTAACTGGTCCGGAGATCGAGTTTACTAAACCACTTCGCCCCATGCTACTCATCTAATAATTCCTGGATGCTAGGGATCAGGTACTTATTCAGAACCATATGTATGTTCAACTCGCGATAGTGCACACAAAGCCTCAAACTACCATTCATTTTGCAAACCAAGAGAACAAAACTCGAGTAGGGGCTCCAACTTGGGCGGATCAACACAGATTCCAACATATCCACCATCAGTCATTTCATTTCATCTTCTTGGAAATGATTGTAATGATACGGTCTCACTGAAATGGATTTGGTACCTGGCTGCAGGTTAATATGATGGCCAATGTGTCGCTAAGGAGGTAGCCCCAAAAATGGTGTTAAGATCTCTGAAAATTCCACTAAAATGGACGACAGTTCATCCCCAGTTGGTAAATGAGGATCGACTGACATAGGAAGATGTGATGGAGATTCTGAATGATCCATCGACCATCAAAGCCATGTTTTCTCATTGTCTGAAAAGCTCACGAAATATTGTAGCCTTGCTTGTCGCGTGAACGTGGATCCCCTCACCAAGCATCATACAACCAAAATGAAACTATTTCTATTGTCAAGTTCTTCCAAGTTGCCTTCACATCCCCCAAGGAAGCCAACCAAGAGACCCGTAATATTACATCCACCACATCCATCATAAAAAGAAAACAATCAACCATAAATGTAGTAGACTGTAAATAAAGAGGAAGGGCGTGGCACAAACCCTGTGCAGAAATATGTTAACCATTGTCGAGCATCACAACATACGTCGGTGAAAGCTCCACATATAATCCCAATTGATTCACAACCCTTTTCAAAATAATATAATGACTAGCGCCACTATCAACCACGATCAGGATTTTGAAATTCTCACGTTTTCTTACGAGCTTCATCGTATTGGGATCATATTGTGAAAGTTGTAAGGTTTGGAGAAGTGTGAATTTTAGTTGTCAAGAGAGATTCTCTCACTCATGCAAAAAGGCATACGACTTAAGATTTCTTCACACACGTAAAACATATATCCATGAAAAAATTTACACTTGATATAAATAAAAGCCAATGAGACCTTTTAAATTTGTAGATTCATTATTATTCGATAATGATTTTTTTTGTGGAGTTCACGTAGTAAAATGTAGAGTTGAAAATTCTATATTCAGCACAAAGTCCTTAAAAAAACAAATCCAACGATGCACCGTGACAAGTCTTCAATTTCTCCAAGTTTCTCACAATTTACAGCGCCTGCACGTTAAAAGGGGGTACAAAACATCAATCTAGGCAATGTAAATAACAAACAAGAGCCCAAAAATATGTGGACATATGGTGAAAGCGGAACGGATCTGATTAGTTGGCCCAACTCGTGTGTTGCGTAAATAGTTTTTGGTCTCGTGGCTGTCGGGCTTATACTTCTTTGGGCTGGGGTGGAAAAGTATGTGTATGGCAACAAATAACAAGATTCATGCGACATGAAACATTCATTTGTTATTAGTTGAAATTATCTTACTCACACATTATGTTGCAAAGTATTCAGATTCCAATGCTGAAGAAGTGAACATTCAGCTAACATATGAAGAACATTCAGTTAAATTAAGATGATCAATACTCAATCATAGATGGTGGGTGCATAATGGTAAACAAAACTAACAAAAACAAGGTTTGACGAACGTTTACACAAGAAATCATTCAAAGACACACACACGGCACTGCAAAACACCACACACGCAAACCAGCGATTAACTATCTCGCTTATTTTAATTTAAATTTACTTATATATTTAAATATGGCAATGGTACATTCTCCTGGAGAAATCCCAGGGTGTGTACCAAGCCAAGATAAAGATAACAACATGAAGCCCCTCACTCAGGTTTCATGGTCTTCCCAACATCGATCACAAAACGGTACTTCACATCAGCCTTCTGGAGACGCTCAATGGCCTTGTTAACGTAATCAGCCGAGATAAGCTCAATATCTGCAGTTATGCCGTGCGCGGCAGCAAAGTCGAGCATCTCCTGCGTCTCTTTGACAGGCCCGTTAGCACTCCCCACCACAGTCTTCCTCCCTACACATCATTTTCAACAGACATATTCAGTTATTCGCACATTAAGAATTTCTGAAGTAGGTAAAAAGGAAGGAGAAGACTAAAGAAAAAAAAATTAAACAGCATATGTACTAACCCGCAATGATGGGGAAGGCCGGTAGCTCGAGTGGCTTTTCAGGAGCACCAACCAAGACGAGCTTCCCGTGAGGCTTCAACAGATTAAGAAACGGCACAAGACCGTGATCTGCGGATATTGTATCTAATATACCATCGAGTGTCCCTGCTGCAGCCTACCAAACAAATAAACAATAATTAAATAAATAATAATAATAAAGAAAAAATTGAAAATTTAGTCAAATTTTGCAGTATATTGTGGATAGGCAACACAAAACAGTCAAACAAGTCCCGTTTAATTCATACCTGCATCTGCTCCGGATCCTTGCTAACCACAAAATTATCGACACCAAGTTGCTCAATGGCTTCCTTCTTCTTACTCTCAGATGTGCTTATAACAGTCACCTTGGCACCAAAAGCCTTGGCAAATTTCACGGCCACGTGACCAAGCCCGCCGAGCCCGGCGACCCCAATCGCCAACCCGGGCTTATCGAGCCCAAAGTATTTCATCGGGCTGTAGGTCGTGATGCCGGCACACAGAAGAGGGGCCCCCTTGTCGAGGGGCAGGTTATCAGGCCAGCGGAAGATAAAATGCTCGGTGGCAACCATGGTGGTTGAGTAGCCTCCATGTGTGATGGAGCCATCTATGTCGGGAGTACCATAAGTGAGAACTTGTTTCGGGCAGTAGTTTTCGAGGTCAGCCGAACACTGGTCGCATTCCCTGCAGGATCTGACCAGGCAGCCCACGCCCACTTTGTCCCCAACTTTAACTTTCTGGACCTTGCTGCCAACCTCAGTTACCTCTCCAACAATTTCATGCCTGAAACAAAAAAAAAAAAGAAGCATTAATTTTGGAATCCAAAGAGGAAAAAAAAAAAGTAAATGATGAAAATAAGGGATGGTAACAAAACTTGTTTGATGGTCATATTATTTAGGGAACCAATTGATCAAATATAACCAGGAGTTTCTTCAGATAAAAGGAGTATTGTGACAGAAAAATGGAGCAGAATCATCTCAACATTTCATTAAAATAGACTCAGAAATCATTCAAGCAGAACCAAGACAACGATAAAGCCAAAAAAAAAGAACATTACTAATTATTATTTTCAAAAATTTAGACACCTTAACAAAATTTCCAAGACAGATAACTGACAATATCAAATCAAAATAAAACGACCACTAGATCACTAGCTTCAAAAGGACTCACAAATCCCTCTTAACAGATCCAATACACTAATGAAGCCAAAAGAGAACAAAATAACCCCACGATTAAAATATAGCCTTTGGAATGTGATTATATCAACTAAAGGGTTATCATCTTCCAGAATCATCTTTGAGCTTGGAATTGAAAATTAAAATATTAATCTACCTGGGATGCAGTAGACTCTTGATCTAGAAGTATTAATACTGTAACTAGCACGATTTCTCATTTATTTACGAAAGATTTCTCATGTATTTACGAAAGATTTCTCATGTATTTACGAATAAGAATACGCATAATCCTTGTTTGCGAACTAATTGAACCGATTCAATATCAGCTGAATGTGATTGATTGATTTTCATTTATCATTATCTTTCTGTAATGTTACAATATAGAAAAAATTCCATTGGTGCCTTAGAGAGTGTGCTTGAATACAAATATATTCATTTCAAATGAGTTTTTTTCTAGTTAACCAGAGTTAGATTTGGAAAGAACTGTATAAGTTGTTGTTAGTGAAATTTTGAGTTTGTATTAAATTAAAATAATATTTAAAATAAAATAATTAAAAATGACTCTGATGTAAAAGTAGGAGAGACGCGATGTTAATAAATAAAGAATTGAATTAAAGCTGATTAAAGTTTGATAAGCCAAAATTATGTAAATGAATATTATTTAATTATACTAATAATGTTGAGTACAGTGTGTTGTGTTGATTGAGTATGAAATTGAATATGGATGGAGAAAATTTATAAACAAATACACCATTAAAAAACAATAGATTTCGGGTACGAGAGGCAGAGGCAGAGAGAGAGAGAGAGAGAAAGAGAGTCATAATACTTGTGTGTTGACCAAGGAAATAAATAGCTCGCTAAAGTTTAGCTTTTTTTGACAGCGTGCCGCTATTTGTATTCATGTGCAATTTAGTCGCTAAATCCCGCTAAATCTCCGCTATAGCTACAGTGCCATAAACGGCTATTTAAAACCTTGTTGTTGACCGATTCAATATCAGCTGAAGGTGATTTGTGATGTTAAAACTTAAAATATAGACAACAATCCATTGGTGCCTTAACAACAATAGTTTTCCCCATCAAACAAACACATACGAGAGAGACAGAGACAGAGAGAGAGATAGAGAGAGAGAGATACCCAGGGACAAGAGGATACTGAGAGAAGCCCCACTCGTTCTTGAGCATGTGAATATCTGAATGGCAGATACCACAGTACAAAACCTTGAACTGCACATCATAATCGCCAGTGGCCCTGTATTACCATAAAAGATATCGATTCAGTCAGGAACCAAAAAAAACCCACAGATCTGACTATGACACATGCAGATCGAAAAGAAAAAACTGCAAGGACGGTAAACAAGCACATATAATATATGCGCCACGCAAAAATCACGAGAATCAAAAGAAATTCAAATGTGCACCACGCCGGGAAAACGAAATAAAATAAAACCAAAATAAACCACACAAAAATCGATTCGATTCAATCAGAACCAGAAACCCAAAGATCGATCTCCGATATGGAAAGAAAAAATCGAAAGGGAAGATATTAAGGTTTCACTAAAAAGGAAAAAAAAAATGGAATATATCAGATCCTTAACCTCCTCGAAAACTTGAACGGAGAAAGAACACCGGAAGTGTCTCTGGCAGCCCATCCGAATACCTGCACAGGGTGCTCAGTTTCTGGATTTTTCGCCATTTTTCTGATTTTTTTCTTGTTTCTTTACTTTTTTTTTTTTCTGGGATGAGTATGAATTGGAGTGGATTATTTTAATGGGGCAAAGTGAGTGAGGCCAATATATAGAAGTGATGAGAAGCAATTATTTTTAGGTTAGGTTGGTTTGGTTGGCACCGCGATGACAGGTCAATCAATCAATACACCATTACTTCTAAACAAATTTTTATTCCGACTCCCCCTTTCACTCAAACATTCAAAAGTTTAAAGGTTGCCATTTATTGTAGGAACTTTTCCTTTTTATACGCTCAACTTTTATTTTATGTCTAATTTTGTATTGATAATACTATCATGTCATGTAGATTTGAATATCTCGGTTTTGCTATGAAGCTAACACTTGGCTCTATAGTGGAGCCAACCTTCTATATACTACAAGTAAATATACCATATTCTTTGATTACTTAAATAACACTATTATAATTTTATTAATATGGTAGGTTTATTTGTTATATATACAAGGTTGGCTCCACTATAGAGCCAACTGTTGGTTTCATAGCAAAACCGTTTAACATCTTCTATACATGTTAGGAATTTTAAAATTATAACATATTTAACTTACTTAAATTATAAATATATGTAAAAATTAATAATTTTTGTGTTTGTTATCATTTTTCATATATAATATATCAATTTAATAATTTTTTACATTCTCTATAAATGGAGACCACATTTGATATGCTTTGGAACACAATTGTAAATTTTCTATATGGCAGTGGTAATTGATGTGTGATTTTGTTCGAAGTGTTTATAACTTGTTTTAATTAATTTCAATATTTTATTTTAATTTTTGTCATTTTAGTTATAATTGAGTTGGTAATTTTTTAATTATATGGTAAAATATTTTTTTATTTATTAATTTAGATAATATTTAATAAATAAATACATAATAATAAAATAAATTTTTTATGTTGGGCTGGGTTGGGTAACCATTGCTCCCATCTAGGATTACTTCGATATTTACTAACCATGCAAATAAATATCAGGCCTCATCTATCGCATATACTAAGATATGAATAATTCGCATTTTACATATACTCGTACATACCATGTGCGATGCACGAGACAAAAATATTAAATGATTTACTTTCGTCGACTCTGTCTGTTTAAGTCTAAGAAGCAATATGATTATCATCTATTTTCAACATCTTTTAATCAGCGTTAAGTCTAAAAAACAATAGGATTATAATTTATTTTCCACCTCTGGCTAGTTTGTAAAATAATTAATATATTATCTCACTAACACATTTATACTAATATAAATTTGATTTTAATATATATATATTTATTCCTTGATATAAGAGAAAATAATAATTTTACTTATTCTTATTCAAAATATAATACTTAATTATTATTTTACTATAAATTTTATTGTCATATAATGTCATTATTATTTATAAAAGTTATAAGAGTTGTACGTTTTATTTTTCTTTTTATTTTATGCAATGAAAAATATTTAATGCACGTTATATTATTTATTTATGTAATCAAGTTAAAATATGTAAATAAATTTAAAATTAAATAGTGTATAAAATTAAATAATGTATAAATATTTTACAAAATATACACACATGTTTTTTTACCCTTCAGCTTTCGGGATCTCGTTGGTGTCAAAATATTGGTTCGCTTGACTCAACCATCCGCACGGATTCATCCCGTGGAATGTGGGAAGGGTTAGCTTTGATTTTCAAACGTCCGCCCCTCACGGTAATTTGAGCCTTGTGATCGGTTGTCGATTTCGCCCTCAACATCACAGTGATCCGCCTCCGAGTTGCTTGTGTTCTCCATGGATGAGTTGAATTTTCTCATACGTCGTGCACGCCTCTCGGACATGCCAGGAATCAACTGCTCGAATCGAGCCATGGGTTGGTTCATGAAGTGAAGACGTCTGTCACAACCCTCAAACTTTTGCCCACATACCTCAGATTCTTCTCCACATTATTGAGCCTTTCACGATTCATCACGACGTTGATGATGATGAACACGATCAACCTCTCAATGAAAGAAGCAATGATGAAGATCGTGTAACGAATGCAAATAAGAGTAATGCTATGTGTACATAATATTGTACATAAGAGTGTAAATAACACTCACATTGAGTGGGACCCACCAAAAATTAAAAATCAAATGGACCCCACTCCATGTGAGTGTATGTACAACTCTATGTTGACCTTGGCAGACACGCACAAATTAACCTTGGCAGACACAAAAAAAAAATAAATAAATAAATAAATAAATCTCAGAAACGGCTTTTTTTGTTAGTTTATTGCATAATAATCATAGCCTCCAAATACAAGAGTATTTTAAGCAAGAAATACACAACAAATCTGCTACTATTTTCTAATAATTCAAAAGTAAACTGCCATTAGAATTGCTCAAAGTGTGTTTGTCCCATTTTTGTTGCTATTTTCGTTGATATTTTGTGTGTCGTCTCCCCCGTTTTAGGTCTTTTCTTAGGTATTTCCGGCCTCTTTTGTCGTTTCTTGCGTTTTATCTTTATTCTGGTGTGTTTAGTTATTTCTGTGTTCTTTTTCCTATTTTCGCGGTTTTTTGTTTCTCTTTTCGGTGGTGCGATTTCAGGTTTTAGGTTGATCGGGTTAGCGAGTGTTCGTTCGTAACGAGAAGTGGATGGTCGAGTAGTACTTTGCGGGACCCTAGCATGTGAGAATTAAGTTTTCAGCTCGGGCAGTAACCGAGCGACGTAGCCGAGCACGCGAATTGCGGAAGAAGGAGCAGATTTTTTGACTAACAGGACCTTAGCGCCGCTAAGGCCCTGTGGAAAGCGGCGCTTTGGAGCAATGCCGCGTACAGACATTTGTCGCTTAGATGCCTTAGCGGCGCTAAGACCTTAGCGCCGCTAAGGTCTGCTTTATGACTGGTGCGATTTTCATGGAATTCAAATATGGGAAGGGTGTTAGATCAATGGGGGCGTTATTTTGGGGATTCAGACCTCGTTTTTCTTAATCTTTTCACCCTAGAACATTACTTTTTCTCAATCTTTCATCTTGGATTGGATTTTTGGAGGATTTAAACTCATTTTCTAGCTTTGGATTCGGTTTGCTCGTTGATTCATCGACTTTGGATTTGGTATTAATCGTAAGCTTTTCTTTTCATCTTATACATGAATGTGATGGCTTCTTTTATGGTGAATGCTTGTGTTGATGTTGTGATGAGTGGCTAATTCCATAAGTTAGGGATAGGGGACGATTGTTTCGGTTCGTTTTCAATTACGTGTTTGATAATTGTTCAATCCTTGCGAGTTGTGCATATTCTAGGGTTAGTTGATTGATCACCAATCTAACCTAATCAATTGACGTTTAGAACCGAAAGGGGAGGCGTCGGTCGATTTAGGCTCGTTTGGAATAGACTTGTTCGTTATTGTATTGTCTATGTGTTGTAGGGTTTGATGAGTTGCTCGTGTATGTCCACCTTCTTGTTACGAAAAGTTATTGAAGGTGAACCTCTATACGAATAGGCGATTCAATCCCCTTAACCGAGCAATTGATTGCCCGGTAATTGAGACAAGAACCGAAAACGATTGTCCCCGACTCCCTAACTCCTTTATAATCAAGTTAATCGTTTGCTTTGAAATTCCGTGTCTCTTTGCTTTATTATTCGTAGTTGATAAATCAAATCTCCAACTTGAATTAGAGTGTTTAGGAAATTCTTTTCTTGTGATCGAATATCCATACAAATAATCCGGCTAACCTTCCTCGTGATACGACCCGGTGACGAATCTTTCGATTCTACTCCGGTTAAAAAATATTTACAACAAAGTGCGATGGTTGTCGCGTCGCGAAGCTCCGGGCACCTTTGGTCTCTATCAGCCTGTGGTGGTCCACGTAGCGTTGTGGTTGCGTGAGATGTCTCAACGCGAGACCTGGTTCTACTCGAGCCTCTATTGCCTAATAACGTTGGGCGCGGCGTGAATAGTTCACATTATAGGTATACAATTGGTATATGAATAATTTATTTTATGGTTGTTTACTGTTCAACGATTTTGCTATGGGGCCATCGGATGACTCGGCGTATAGAGTCATCCACAGTTATTTACAAATGATGTATTGACACGTGTTTTGCAATAAATGCACATTGGACATGATGGATGACTCCATAAAGGAGCCATCCGATGGCTCCATAGAAGTTTTGTACTACTCACAATATAGGTATACAATGAGTAGTTTACTTTATGATTATTTTGAAGAAGTAACATACTAATTTTACAGTGTGAACATTTATCTATAAACTACCTTGAAAGTTAAACTTTGTTTGAATATTTAATAAGAGTAAACTTCAGAGATACCAAGCTGCAATCTCATAATTTAATAACAAATCCCACAAATATTGAATCAACTTCACACAAATCCAACTAGAACTCAAAAAAATTATGGCAAAATAAAGCTACTAACATTAACATCCAAACAATAACTACACAAATTTACAAGCCACTTAACCAAATAAAAAAAAAAAAAAAAAAAAAAAAAAAAAAAAAACCAAAAATATCGTATTATATTTCAATCTTAGAAACTATAGTCGATTAAACAAATTTTATTCCAACTCCCCCTTTCACTCAAACATTCAAAAGTTCAAAGGTTGCCATTTATTGTAGGAACTTGATGGAGACGAGGCTGGTTCGGATTCGCGGCCGAATCCTTCTTAACCGGGGGAGGATGATGGAGACGAGGCTGCCTTGGCATATTTGGATAAATTTGATCGGCTTCGGATTTAGTTCTTTATTTATTTTATTTCCCTTTCCTTTTATTTATGCATTTTCCTTATTTCCTATTTTAATTTAGGTAAGAAAATAATGTCCTTGCAGTTGTTTGGCAAGGTAGGACTCTCTTTTCTATTTATTAGCTGATGTGAGATTGAAAAAGACGATTGGAAATTTTATGAAATTATCTGGTGTTCTATTTTCACGAGAGAGTATCTCGTTCTTCCCTGTTTACATATCACGTTCTACATCA